GGTCGTTATTAAGCAATATGGATTCGAAATAGGGAAGAGATTTCAATTACTCTTCGGGTTACTAGTAATACTACTTCCTCTTCTATGTGCTGCGTCTCTTCAGGACGATGGCAATCATGGCTCTCCACAATTTCTTGTCCTTTGTAGTAATTTTTTTCTGTTATTTCTCTTCAATCTTGTTCTGACATCTTATCAATGTTAGTCAGTTAAGTGCCATACGTGATACACGCTTGGGTGATCATATCTCTCCACAACTTCCTCACCGATTTAACTGCTGATTCTTTCAGTTAAGTGCCATACGTCATACACGCTTGGGTGATCATATCTCTCCACAACTTCCTCACCGAAGTAACTGCTGACTCTTTCACTTAAGTGCCATACACGATACACGCTTGGTCGATCATGTCTCTCCACAACTTCCTCACGATATAAATGCTGACTCTTTCAGTTAAGTGCCATGCGTCATACACGCTTGGTCTATCATGTCTCTCCACAACTTCCTTACCGATATAACTGCTGACTCTTTCAGTTAAGTGCCATACATCATACACGCTTGGTCTATCATGTCTTTTTCGATTTATGACTGACTAGGCTGAAGATTTTCCCGCAGGAGGAAATTTCAACAGTAAAATGACGAGATCTATCTGCTAATTTACCATTACACTTAAATTCATAATGTCGGTCCTGGGTATGACGATAAACTTTTCACTATTTGCCCATAGCTGGAACCCTAACAAGCGCTACCCTACCGTTTCAGGGTGGACCTGAAAACAACAGCAATTAAGAGGTAACTCCACGCTCCTCAAAACCTCCAATCTCCAGATCAAAGGCCTTTCTGCCGGATGTAGTCTATCGTCATACCCAATATTAGATTTTTTGTAATAAAACGTTTTGCTAGTATTGCATCAGGAACAGTAATAAAAGAAAAAAATAGATAAAAGTTGCTTAACCAAATAAATACCCACCCTATTAATGAATAATTTTCCACTATATTTCGAAAAGTCTTTTTAAATCCTTTTAAAAATTCTGTTTAGACAGTTTAATAGAAATATTGGTTTTCTTATTGGCTAAGTTTATCAAAGGACAGTACAGGAGAATTTAGCACAATGAAAAAAGAATGGCTTGGAGAATTTAAAACTCACAGGGCATACTGGAGGCAGGAAGAGCAAAGTTAAATAGAGAATAAGTTACTTAACGAGTTGATGCAAATGGTTGACAGGGGAGGAACTGTGAGGGATGGTAGGAGACACGTTGCTTAGTGCTACAAAGAACAGGAAGCTGTGAAGAGCTGTGAACTCCCACTTCCTATGGGGTCACAGGATACAAAAGAATAAGTACATAACAAGTTCACGAATATGGAGAACCCTATGAGGATCATGCTTATCGCAAAAGTAATGATCTAGAAGTGTCCAATTTGGGGTGTATTATCTACTAAGTAGATAAAACTTACCAGGATCATTTTTTATAAAAAAATTGTTTAAAATAAATTCGTACCATCATTATCAGCCATCAAATATTTTCCGTGGCTTTCTAAGACGTTTCGCTATCGTTCAGTTATAATCCGTATTTCATCATATGGGTTCGATACAAAAATTTTCTTTCATAAAAAGCGCATTAGTAGGTCTTATCATCTTACCGATGAAATGGCTATATGCAACCGCAAGTTCTATGCTAACAGTTTCTTCTCTTGCACGTCTCTTCCGGCTTCTTGTTTACCGATCCATATTGATAATGCATTAAACATTTTGAAGATAAATCGTTATCTTTTGTCTTCTTAATTCCAGTTATTTTATTGTTCTCTCTCCTTAATAATGTTTTCTCATATTCTCACACACAATAACCCCTTGATTCTTAGTGTCTGCTTGCGGTGAAATGATTAAAAACCGAGGCAGAATCTTCCATTCATATTAATATATTGCATCATTATTCATTATTATATTTCCCCCCATTTTCTATGACCTTATGCCACCTTTCAGTTAAATTGAATATTCCATCATAGAGGTTGATTCAAAAGTTTTCATCATATTTGAAGCAAAATCTTTTATTCATATGAACGCATAGCATCATTATTAAATCATCAAAAGTATTTTCCCTAACTTTCTACGACCTTTCAGATAAATTGTGTATTGCGTCGTATGAGGTTGATTCAAAAGTTTCCATCATATTTGAAGCAAAATCTTTTATTGATATGAATTCATAGCATTATTTTTATCGACGATTCTATGTTGCTATCCGTTAAACTACACACATCTAAACCGAAGTTTGTAAAAGTGAAATTTGTTTACTGTAGTAAATAAATAAAGCGATCGGGTTAAAAAGAAAGTTTAAATTATAATTGTCCGTTGAGACGACGCGATCCAATTGTGGCAAGACTATAGATAACGTTTTCTCAAATAACTTTAGTTTAAATTGTCAACCAGATACAATTTATTGATATCTTTAATCTTGATTCTGGGGTTCATGGTTGTCTTATTAACTGAGATGGGAAGGAAAAGCGATGATTTCTCAGGTCGAGTTGAATAGTTGCTAAACTGGGTGTCTTCGTAAATCATGTTTGACATTTGGTTGTGACCTGTGAGCTCTGGTGTATAGTACTTGAGAGATTCTGATAGTCCTGACACAAAGGAAAGGGGCGAATCTAGACAGCGCCTAATTAAATTTACTATAGGTGAAAGCCCATACCGCAGCCCTATTCAAACCCTCTAGGTGGCTGTGTCAATCAAGATCGCTGAGGACCGTGCATAAGTGCTGATTTGGAGACCGTATTACCAATTAAGAGCAGGAATTTAGGGGTACTACGCATAGCATAGATATCAATGATATGTAGTCGAGAGTGGTCAGTCTAAAAACAGTCAGAGAAGACAACAATAGAGAGTGGAAGGGGTTTCTCGCCTGTTGGGCAGAGGTGAAAAGTTAAAATACTTGCAATTTGAACAATAAAAGAAGGGGTGAGCCGAAGGGGAAAAAGTTGAAGAGAAAATTACAGTGAAATAAAAATCCTTTCTTTATCATTGATATTACATATTTGCAAATAGAAATATACACAATTATTCACAAAGAAACTAAGCGTCTAGGAAATTAATTTTATTTACTTTGGGATATTTTTCGCTCTTTTTGTGGCAAAGCACCGGGCTCAGTTGGCAAAGCGTAGAATTTAATAGATTTAAATGAATGTATTTTAACTTGCAATGTTACAAGAAAGAAAATATCATTAAAATTTGTATATATATATATATATATATATATATATTTTAAATATAAGCAACTATAATTGTCTCTTATCTCTTAATATATATACCGGGTGTAACAGCAAAATTGTCCAATTGGTACATTAAACTTTGAACCGTTGTATCTTAGAAATGATTAAAGCTATCTTACTGGAATTCTCCGAGATTTTATAACACTATTGGACTCTACTTTGAACAATAAGAATGCATTTACATCTAAGCTGAAATGATGTTCCCTCTTGCTGGTGTGACCTCACGATCTAGTTTTCCTTTCTACTGTTCCCTCTTTTTTAAACTTATTCACCATTCTCTTGATGGTTCTTGAATGAGCTTTGAAGATGGAAGCCAGAGTATGAATGTTGGTACCATTACTGAAGGCATGAATGATCTTTTTCCTCTCACCATTGCTCATTTGGGAAGACAGTGAGGCTGACACAAAATTTTAATCTTTTCTCTTTTTATCTGAATAACTCAAAGGGTTTTTCAGTGATTCTTACAACAAATGGTGTCAAGATGGTTAAATGTCTTATCTTAAAACAAGGAAAAAAGAAAATCAATTAGTTTAGTTTTGTTTTTTAGATATTAAACACTTTGTGGGATGGACAATTATCCAATCCAGTTACACAATTTTGCTGTTACACCCAGTATATATATATATATATATATATATATATATATATATATATATATATATATATATAGTATTCAAACATATTTCATTGAATAATATACTGTAGACATATTTATCTATTTATTTTATAATGTTCCATTCTAGTTGTCTAATTAGCTTCTTGATGTTAAGAAGGAAGGCGTCGGAGATTTTCCTTGATGAATTTCAACTTAACATCAAGAAGCTAATTAGAGAACTAGAAAGGATTATTATAAAAATAAATAGATATAATATGCCTATATTATTCAATTAAATATGTTTGAATATATATATATATATATATATATATATATATATATATATATAGAGAGAGAGAGAGAGAGATAGATAGATAGATAGATAGATAGATAGATAGATAGATAGATAGATAGATAATATTAGTGGTCAATATATATAGATAGATAGATAGATAGATAGATAGATAGATAGATAGATAATATTAGTGGTCAATATATATATATATATATATATATATATATATATATAAACATAAATTCCAAGAGGATAGAATCCAGGTAGAACCCAATGTCCAGGACAGAGTACGAATATAATATAAAAGGCTCAAACACTAATATTCCATGGTTATAATTTATTACATTGGAATCGCAATCACGATCCAATTCATCAGACCTACAAATTCAAAAAGAAATCGGATATATATATATATATATATATATATATATATATATATATATATATATATATATATATATTATTGTATTTCGGCAGGAAATGTTCTTTAAGGTAAAATATTATAAAAGGCATTAGACACTATGCCTTTTAATTTTAATGATCAACTTTTCCATGTTATGAATAATTATTCTCAGACAAGCATGAAATTTCGTCAGAAATTGTCCAATGTCCATTTTGGAGGAATAAATAAGTACTCAAAAAAAAAAAGCAATTCACTTGCGTCACAACCATTTTTGCCTACATCACAACACTCGCAAGTTCTACCCTGATGATGATTTAAGAAAGTCGAAAGATTGGACCATATTTCCTGTACTTTTCTCTTCCGAAATGAAATTCGGACAATTTGTGACACATTTTCGTCCTTGTCTGAGAAGGATTATTCGAAATTTGGCAAAGTTGATCACTAAAACTAATAGACACAAAATATGTGTTCTCTTTAGATAGATAGATAGATAGATAGATAGATAGATAGATAGATAGATTGACGAAATGGAAGAAAACATAAAAGTGATTGAACTTTTCCAAACTGAAAATGTTTTTTTTATCGATGGTATCAGTCTTATATATAAAGAAAGAACTGTGGGGAAATTCAACAACAACAATAATAATAATAATAATAATAATAATAATAATAATAATGTCTTAATTCAACAATAGCCGATTACTGTTTTAAGTTTCTTCTATATCCCTCTATATCTCCCACCATTTATATGTCAGTCTGACTCCATCAATAGCACAATTATTAGTCTGAAAATGTCTAGTCTCGGAGCGGAACGTGTCATTCAAGATTTTTCTTCCCATTTTGTCATTCGCTTATTCGTTTACCCACTATTAATCTGATATATATATATATTTATATATATTTGATTTGGGATGAAATATGAATCAAATGATGAGATGAAGAACAAATGGGAGCATTTGTAAATTTAACATGTTTCGCTTTTATTTAAGCATCATCAGAAATTAAATATGGAAGAGAAAAGAAAAGTCTGCTGTGTTGCTTGTTTTCCATAGATTACGTAGATCTCATGTGTATTTGTCTTTTATGTATATAATTCTTGTTTGTTTGTGTATCATTCGTGTCATGGTGCCTACCTAGACCGACAGAATGAACTCTTACTACGCCTCTTAAGAGAGACGAACAGTATCAGGAGTATGAGAACATTATTAGACGGATTTGGTATTGAATCGAGTCGAGCTAATAGCAGTCACACCAAACCAGTCGGACAGTCTTACTAACCTTTACACTTCTTGTATTATTTCTCGTGTAATATATTCTTTGTTATTTCTACTGTTGTGTTTCGTGTTGTTCTTCCATGGTCCTAACCTTGGAACATAACAATAGGTTATATTATTAGGCTGGTGCAAAAATAATGACGTAAGAATGTCGTTTTTTGACGTAGAAAAGTACGTCAAAAAAACGACATTATTACGTCATTATTTTGGCACCAACCTAATAGAAAACTAATAAGCGGATAGAAGGATCAGATCGTTCGCATAAAAAGAAGAAGCAGTAAGGCATTTATTGTAGAGTTTAGAGTGAACAAGAGACAATTCAGGAGAATATTTCTTGAGGACCATTGCAGAGATACCATCAAGTTCACGATCTTTGTGAGGATCCAGTTTAAAAATGATAGCAGAAATCATGGACAAAGTTATATGCATATCACTCAATAGAGGCTCAGTTATAAGTGGAAAGTCATGCAAATGTACTCCAGATGAGTCGAGAATAGAATCTGAAGAGAATTGACGAGCAACACATTCTGCTTTATTAACTGAAAATGTTAAATTGAATGAACAGATAAGTAATAGAAGACTTATTTAAGACACTATTGCAGTTCCACCGGTAGTCAAATTAACCAAACTTTTTGGCTATATGGTACCTCATTATATCATCAAACAAAGACTTAGTCTTTTTGAGGACATGCTTATATTTATTTCGAAGAGTCACAAATAGGTGTCGATTGGGAGCAAAATTATCACGCTGAGATATCCGAAAAAAAAAGTGATTCCCATGGGCTATAGCAGCTGAACAGGCACCTGTGAACGAAGAAAATTTTGGTTTTATTTGATATGACCAACACGCAAACAAACATATTCTGATTTCTGGTCGTCGGATCTAATCAGACAATTTATTTTATTGCCCTTCTTATCCTAAAAAAAAAAAAAAACTCAGCGCATTTTCCTTGCACACAGTTTTGTCTTTGATTCTGACATGAAGATGTCAAAACCAACAGACGTCAGCGAAACGCGTCGTTTATAACTTTTCCACTTTGTCTCAGAATCTCCATACACATATATACAGACACACACACAAGCATATGCACACACATTTAAAAAGAAAACAAAATTCATATCTAGATAAATAAAGTTTTATAAAAAGCCGAATATTCCCAAGCAATTAATCTTTTAAAAAAATTTATTTTGTTTCTTCTCCATCTTTTCATTTCTTGTCATCCATCTTATTCGTTATCAGTTTTTATTTATTTATAGGTTCTATAACAAATTTCTCTAATTTTATCTACTTTCCTCGTCAACTAGAGTGCTACAAAGCAATAACCGAAATTTAAGTGATCATTTTTCCTGTTTAGACATTTGATCTCAAATAGCAGAATCCGCCCCTGGATATATAGAATATATCAAGTTTTATTATGCAAGTCAATGTTTTCACAATACTTTTTTTTTTTTAAGCAATTTACCTCAAGCAAGGCGGGAGTGTCAAAGGTACGCAAGGGTTACAGAGAGAAAAATTGATAGAGAATGCTGGATACACAGAGACTAAGGACAGGTTAAATGATGAACGGGGTTCAAGACAACAGAAGATGGCGATTGGCGTTGAATTAAAAAAGTTTTGAAGATTGTAGTTGTCAGGGAAATAAGAAAGATGCCAATCTAGTAGCACGCCTCGTCGGAGCAGATGCCATGAAAATATTTGTAGGAAAGACAGAAGGAAGCCACATCAGGTCGGTGAGAAAGTGACTGAAGTCGAGATGCCAAGTTAGGATAGATTATATTGCAGATCCTTATTTGGATTTTGTCAAGAACTTTCGAAATAGACAGCAGCTGCACCAGACCAGATATGGCAACAATATTCAATACACGGACGAATGGTAGATTTGTAAGATAGAGTTCTGGCACGACACCATGAACCAACTTCCCTAGGTATTGATTCAATATAGTTGTTTCACTTCAAGTCAGATGAAAACGTGATGCCAAGAAGTCGCAGAGAAGCGATCCCTGGAGTCGAGTATCACCCATACTGATGGTGGGCAGGGAAGATTATTTATGGTGGTTAAATGAGAGCCGTTTAGTTTTGCAGGCATTCAAACTTAAAGCCATTTCCTGCTCCAGTTAATCATTGATTGGAGGTCATTTTCGAGAACAGCGGCCAGGTTAACTTTGTCATCGATGACGGATTTACTGTTGAGACAGGGGTAAATGGTTATGTCATCTGCATAGGTGCCTACTTGGGAACTGATGACATCAGAAAGATCATTGATGAAAATCAGAAACAGCGTAGGACCCAAGATAGAGCCTTGGGGACACCCGCATTCGAGTCAAAGGATCTGGAAGCAAGCTTGTCCAGAACGACATTCACTTCACGATTTGATAGGAATAATTAGATTAAACTAAACAAACGTCCTGTAATACCGTAGTCCTGAAGCTTACGTAGAAGACCAGCACGCCAAATCCTGTCAAACACCTTTGAGATATCTAGAGCTACAGCTCGATCTTCGCTGTTATTATCAAGAGTTTGATATACATATTCAGTTATGGCCGTAAACACGTCAGCGGTAGACCGGACATATTGTTTGTCAGAGAGTAGGCCGTGAGAAGCAAAATGCTTAACCACTTCAGCATTGATTAAAGCCTCGAATACTTGGCCGAAAAGCGGTAGGAGACTGATAGGGCGCTAGATAGAGGTTTCAGTAGGTTCTCCAGAATTCTTAAAATAAGGGACGAGGATTTCAGTAAGATGGAAAGCAGCAATCAGCGAGGCAATAGTTGTATAGTTTGAAGAGAACTGGACCCAGCTCGGGGGCAGATATCTTTAGAACGACGGTTGGTATCCCGTCACCTCAACTTGCCTCAACTTGCTATATATATATATATATATATATATATATTATGAAACGGACAAAATCCGACAATTATTTTAAGACATTTTTATGTTTATATATGTTAAGTAAATGCTCTGTTTATAATAAACAGTATTAAACAACATTTACCGACCTGAATGAAAAATTAAAATATTCATCCTCCGAAAATTTCTCGGACATTCAGGCCGGTAAATGTTGTTTAATACTGTTTATTATAAACAGAGCATTTACTTAAGTATTTGTATCTATAAAAAAGAATGTATAAACATAAAAATGTCTTAGAATATATATATATATATATAGATAGATAGATAGATAGATAGATAGATATAGATAGATAGATAGATAGATAGATTCACTTACGTGCTAGTACCATAAAAAAATAGACAAGAAGCATGGTGGAGTAATGGATAGCTGCTTGGTTTGACGAATCGGAGAGCCGAATTCGAATTTCAGTTGAATCCATTCCAATTCCCTATAATTAAATCACATGTCGGGCTGTCGATTTCTAGGAGCTGAACTGTCTGACCTTAATACGTTGAATACAATCATCAAAATCACACAAGAATCAGTCTAACCAGCTATAGGCAAATGGTGAACCCAGAAACAAAACACTGTGATTGTATGAAGATACATTTTTATAGTAAAAATATTAGCAGCATATTTCTATATGAAAATGTACAGTAATACATATTTATAGCATATGATCAACAATATATTTTATCTGTAGCTGAAGGCATACAATTGCGTTCAAAATATATTTAGTAGAAGCCATATAATTGTGTTCAAAATAGTTAAATTTCGGCATTAAATAACCTAAAGTATAAAACATATTTTTATAATAAAAATAACAGCAATAGTAAAGGGTGTTCCAATAACTTGGATCGATTTTAAATGTGAATTAAGTTTAAGCGTCTAATCATTTTTTTTTCTTTCAGATTTGACAACTTAAGTCTTTAGCAATTTCAACCATGGAAAGATTAACAAACAACATGTTAAAGTTATCGTAGCCTATTACGAATATAGACGTTCAAACGGAAATGCATTTCGCGCGCTTTGCGATTTTTTTGTTCAACCAATCGAGTGTGCAATTGGAAGCGATGTAACATTGTGGAAAGGTTTAATTCCTGCGCGCGATGACGAATAGAGGGGTTTGGATTTTCGGCCACATTCTCGTGCACTGCAGCAATGTTTTTAGCTAAACGGCACAAACAAGCAAGCAATGGTGTTTTCACATCTGCCACCGACCCAGTTTGTTTGAATTTACGAACAGTTTTTCCAATTGCACTCTTGAAACTTTAACACGTTTTTTGATTGTTAATCTTTCCATGGTTGAAATTGCCGAAGACATAAGTCGCTAAATCTGAAAGAAAAAGAAAGAAAAAATCATTAGACGCTTAAAC